ATAGTTCATAGGATATATGACTAACCCCATTTTTTAAGAGCAAATTATGTTATAATATCAACTTGACCTTCATACAACTCTGAGTTGAAGTCAAATATATTTTCCAAAACTTTAATATCAGGGACAACTAAGAATTATTTCTGGTGTTTTAAAAATTATAGTGTAATACATATAGCATAAATCAAGCAACTATGGAAAATAATTTATTTTTTTCTCATTTACCAGATGAGAAGGAAACTGCCTACCTTGCTTAATTACAATATAGATAAAATGTCTGGTGAATTCAATTACTTCCATAAATGATAATTCTTTTACTATTTTGCAAGAGCATTTTAATTGAAATCATTATGTAAACAGATCTAATGAGCAGGCTCAACATGAGCTCACATTTCTATTAACATTCAAAGAAGATGCTCATACAGACAACAAGAGGAAAATACAGAGACCTTTTACAAATCTTTCTAAAATTCAGTGTTCAAAACTACCAGGGATAGGCATGGTGGCGCATGCCTATGATCCCAGCAGCTCAGGAGATTGAGATGGGAGGACTGCAGGTTCAAAGCTAGCCTCAGCAAGAGCAAGGCATTCAGCAACTCAGTAAGACCCTGTCTCTAAAGAAAATACAAAATACAGCTGGAGATGTGGTTCAGTGGTCAAATGTCCCTGAGTTCAATCCCCAGTACCCACCCCCACCAAACACACCAAAAAAAGAGAAAAGAAAGAAAGAAAGAAAGAAAGAAAGAAAGAAAGAAAGAAAGAAAGAAAGAAAGAAAGAAAGAAAGAAAGAAAGAAAGAACGAACAAGGATAAGTAGATGGGAACTTTTACTTGGGCATCAGTTTGGACTACAACAAAACAGAGATAATAATCATCTTGACTCAAACAGTGGCAGAAGATCATTGACTCCATTGCCTTTTCCTAAAGATGAAGACATTAGAAACCAGCAAGGCTGAATTTATCGTGAAGGGTCTGGTAGCTAGTTAGAAATAGAGGCAAGGCTTGAAAAGCAATGTGTAAGATTAGCTTATATGACTTTTTCCTTTCTAAATATTTAGAGTACATACCTGATTGCAACCTATTTTAAAATAAAAACAATTCTACAGATAAGTAACTAGCTAACAAAAATTCAATGAATATGTGAAATAGGAACAGAACAAAAACCAACTTTCTTCCCACTGTGGAAATATTTCACACAGGAAAATAGCTACATAATCTCCATGGACATTCCTTTGCTGCATCATGTCAAATCCTAATTCATTCATATATATATATATATTTACAACTATCCTCTATGTGACTAATACTCTATTCTTGTTGATTTGGACATGAAGTGTCCCCTTCCAACTCAAGAGTTGGAAGCTTGAGCCTCAAAGTAGTGATGCTCAGAGGTGGGGCATTTGAGAAGTGACTGGATCAGCAGTGTGCTAACTTCATCAGTGCATTAATTCACTGACAGATTAGTAATTTTATGGCACTATGGGGGTGATGGTGAAGATTTTAGGGAGTGGGGCCTAGTCAGAGGAAGTACACACTGAGGATATGCCCTGCAAAGAAATTTTTTACTCCTTGCACTCTCCCTCTCCCCTTTGCTTTCCACTTCCTCCCCCTTTCTTTCTCCCTGTATCCTCTTGTCTGCTGTGAACTAAATGGCCTCCCTCTGCCATACCCTTCTTCCAGAACTTTCTGCCCCCAAAGTAATGGAGCCGGCTGACCTTGGACTGAAACTCTGAAACTGTGAGTCAAAATAATTCTTTCCTCCTTTAAGTTGCTCTCATCAGTTACTTATGGAAGAGTGACAAAATGCTGACTAACACAAGATATAAATTACAACAATAATGGAGTTATTCTAAAAAAAAAAAAAAAAAAAAAACCAAGTACTCAGATAATCTGTTCACAAAGATCTGAGAGCCAGAGAAAAAAAGGATTCTGATATTTATTGAACTACTTGCAATTCCAAAAACATACTACATAATCTTTCCTGAATCCTTAGTACATTCTGATTCCATTTCTACTTGCCCTTTAGAAACGGAATGCTGACAATACAGAATTCCTACCTCTCTACAACAGATACTTAAAAGCTATTTCTTCTCTGTAGCTTTTCTCACTCCCAACACCAAATAACATCTGAAGTTCAGGAATCTCACCAATTAAATGTGTCTCCTACAGCTACTAGGTAGCATAATGCCCAGAACCTAGAAAATAGCAAAATATTTCTAAAGGAAAAAAAAATTGACATAATCTAAACTACTTGCTATGAATACTATAAATCATTTTACAATAAAATTGACTGTTTATTACATTGACAGTGAATTGATTATTATTTATCACCTATAAAATAGTTTTTCACTCTAAAAATATTCATTAATTAAAGCTTACTATTAATTATTTAAAAAATATATATATATACATGCGTATACGTGTACATGTATGTTTACATATGCATACATTAATAGTTAATAAAATGACATATATGCATTTCATTTATTATATGGACATCAAATATATATCAAGTAACATATATATGTATATATATATATATATATATATGTATATATATATATATATATGTATATAAACTGTGTTCCTTAAAAATGTTGTATTTATATAGAAAATGTCTGTACCTACATATGATATTTAAAAATAGAAAATAGAGATCAGATCCAAAGGATCTGAAAAATTAAAGTTAGATTTTAAGGGTCATATACAAAAAATTATGCACTATAGTAGAAGGGAATTTATAAAGATTGTTTACTCAAAATCAATTTAGCTTGATTTTGGAAATAATTATATTTGGTCTGGGGCTGTAGCTCGGTGGTACAGTGGTCACCTGGCACGTGAAAGGCACAGGGTTCAATCCTCAGCACGACATAAAAAGAAAGAAATAAAATGAAAGTGTCCATCTACAAGTAAAAATGTTTAAAAATAAATAAATAATTAAAACACATGGTCATTTATTTGCTCTGCTTATGGAAGATTAAAGTAGAAACAAAGATGTTATTGATGGCAAGAAGTGAAAAAAGATTACAGTAGATGAAACAGAATCTTGATGGAAAAGAGGAAAAGCATGAGAAATTTGAGGAACAGAAAAAAAAGGGAAGGAAATGTAAAAATGGAAAGAAAGTCTCAAAAAAGGGAAAAGAAAAGAAACCTCTAAAGTATTAATAGAATAAAATCTCAAATGAAAGAAAGTAAAGTATTCATGTAGAGAATGACCAATAATGCTGGGTGGCTCAGTGGTCCCTATGCACATCATTTTTTGTAGAAGAAATCAAGTTTATGATGGGCACATGTTGAATAATAAGAAAAGAGTTTCTACAATTTAAAAGTATTTCTTTCAAAACCAAAATAATTCGATGATTTAATGATAAAAACTGTTAAGATGAAATTACTATCTAATTTTTGAGTGCTAATCATATTTGGATGCTAACATAATGACTAGCAAATGCACATATGTATATTCACCTAATAATATGCTTGTCGCTAATGTATGCATGAGGGAGAGCATTTATTGTAATTACACTCCTATTAAAATACATTTTATATGACAATTAAAAGCTTCAAATAATGCATATTTAATATACTAGACCACAATTAAAAAAAGACAATGATTGGTTAATATGAACACTTTGGGCCACAGAACGAAATAAAAAAATTCATGCAGGATTTAATAAAGCAAATTAGGCTTAAAAACCAGTCTACTAACAACCATTCTCTAAATGACATAAATGACAAGTCAAATTCAAATCCATACATTCTTTCTGTCAGTAAAATGGGATCTAAAATTTGATTAAATTGTTGCTTTTTTTTTTTTGCTTACAGCTATTTATGCCATGCTTGTATGCTTGTTAAAAGCCAGAAGTATCTCTAAGAACAAACTGATGTTCACCTCTTGTACTAGAAAGTAATTGCTCATATTGTCTTTTTCTTTTTTTTAAGAAATATTGGTTCTTTTTAGTTTAACATGACAATAGCATTCATTTTGATTTAATTGTACTAGCATGGAATATATCTTGTTCTAGTTAGGACCCCATTGTTATAGACTTACGTGATGATAGGATTCACAATGGTGTATTCATGTACATAGAAAAATACTGTGTTCATCTAAGTACATAAGAAAGTTGTTTTGGATTCATTCCACTGTCATTCGTTTTCCTATCCACCTTTCCTCTTCCTTTCCCTTTATCCACTTTGTCTAATTTATCAAACTTTTATTCTTTCCCTCTCCCCACGTATTTTGGTTTAGCTTTCATATATCAAAGAAAACATTTGACCTTTTTTTTTATAACTGGCTTATTTCATATAGCATGATAATCTCCAGGTAAATTTATTTACCTGTAAATGTCATAAAATCATTCTTCTTTATGGATGAGTGATACTCTACTGTGTATGTATATCACAATTTCTTTATCCATTCATGTGCTGAAGGGCATCTAGTTTGGTTACATAGCTTTGCTCTTGTGAATTGAACTGCTGTGACATTGATGTGGCTTCATCACTGTAGTATACTGATTTTAAATCTTTGGATGTAAACTGAGGAGTGTGATAGTTGGGTCAAATGGTGGTTCCATTTATAGGTTTTTGTTTTTTTTTTTTTTTTTTTGTGGAGCTGGACATTGAACTCAGGGCCTTATGCATGTGAGGCAAGCACTCTACCAACTGAGTTATATCCCCAGCCCCCGCACTCCTAGTTTTTTGAGGAATCTCCATACTGTTTTCCAGAGAGGTTGCAACAATTTGCAATCCTATCAGCAATGTATGAGTTTACTTTTTTCCACACATCCTCACCAAAATTCACTGTAACTTGCTATTCTAACTGGACTAAGATAGAATCTCAGTGTGGCTTTAGTATGCATTTCTCTAATTGCTAGACATGTAGGGCAGTTTTTTATGTTTGTTGACAGATCCTATTTCTTCTTCCAAGAATTGTCTATTCAACTCTTTTGCCCATTATTGATTGGAATATTTATTTGGTATTACATTTCTTCAGTTCTTTATGTAACCTAGACATTAATTCTCTATCTGAAGTGCAAGTGACAAAGAATTTCTCGCATTCTGTAGGCTCTCTTTTCACATTCTTGATTGTTTACTTTGCAATGAAGAATCTTTTTAGTTTGATTCCATCCCATTTATTAAACTGATAAGAACAGATAATACACTTGATCTTAGCCAAAAGGCCAAGAAGCTAGCCCATCCCATTTATTGATTCTTGATTTTGTTTCTCGAGCTTTAGGAGTCTTGTTAAGGAAGTCAGTTTCTGAGCCACATATTGTCTTTTTCTTCAGATATCTTCCCTTGACGTTTCAGTAAATTATAGCCTGAAACAGATTCTAAAGCTTACAGAGTAGATATTAAGCATTCAGAAATGGAGTTGTGTTGACAATCAATAGAATTATACTGTGGGTATTACTCAGAATATATTTCTTTTACCTGGCAAGTTCAGCCTCACAAACATTTGAGAGAACAGGGTTGGTCCCACATTCATCTTATATTTGATATTCAACTCCTAAAAGAGTCATTTAATTGTTGTTCTCTGAATAGCTACTCATATTTCTTTCTCAAGGAAAGAAACAAGTTCATAGTTTTCAATCTCAACAGATGCCTTTAATAAACACCCCAAAGACTTGACTGTTTAAAGCTGGGCATTCACTTTGAAAAATCATATTCACTCCATCATGAAAGTAGGACATTTTTTTTTTTTTTTTTTGTTATGGGGGGATTTTACTTAGGGCCTTATGCGTGCTGGGCAAGTGCTCTACCACTGAGCCTCATTTCCCTGGCCCAGAAAATGGGATTAATGCAATAGCATATTTTATCCAAATGGGGATCAGCAAAAAAAGGAAGGATAATTCAATATTAATCATCTGAGAAACTATGGCAACTATTGACTGTATTTTCCTCACGTGGGATTTAGCTGTTACATTAGGTCACAGAACATTTTGAACATGTCCTTTTGGCAATTCATTCCATAAAGTTATAGCAATGAACTAGAGGTGAAAATATCCTCGCTCTCACTGAGCTTGAGGGAGAATAGAAAATGACAAAACCTTGCAGCTTTGGAAAAGTTGATCAGGAGACAAAGACATTTGTAACACTTTATAATAAAAAAGTTGGGTTTAGGGAGATCTTAAAGAAAAAAGTAAAATTTAAACTAAGGCATTGATCAATTGAAAGAAATACACAGAGAAAACTACATGTTTAGGTCTTTGGGCAGGAAACAACTTGATAGTGGAACAATATTAAGTTGGTGTGACTGGATCATAGATAGTGAAGTGGATCATTCTCATAAGGAGAGAAAATATTAAGGATTTGCAAAGGTAGAAGTGAACCAACTGGAATCCACAGAGTAACAGTAGACTGAGAAACAGCAGTGTTAAAAGTAGATTACAGGGGCGAGGGATGTGGCTCAAGTGGTAGAGCGCTCGCCTGGCATGCGTGCCGCCCGGGTTCGATCCTCAGCACCACATACAAACAAAGATGTTGTGTCCTCCGAAAACTGAAAAAATAAATATTGAAATTCTCTCTCTCTCTCTCTTAAAAAAAAAGTAGATTACAGAACAGAGTAATGGGGGCAACGAGAAAAATTAGACAATCTTTACATGTGTTATGAAGGAGTGCCTTAACTCTAGGCAATAGCAGACATGATAAATATACCTAATGCATAATATCAGGTTTCAATGTTAGGATATGATCATTGAGTAGATTTGGAGGTAAGAACATGTGTATGCGCGCGCGCGCGCGCGTGTGTGTGTGTGTGTGTGTGTGTGTGTGTGTAATTTCTAGGCTTTTAGCCTGAGCAAATGAAATGAATGATGGTGAATGAATGGTGTTATAAATGACTTTTACAATCTTTAAAAAGCACATATAATTAAATTGCCAAACAGACCCAAAAGACTCAAATATCTTACTCGGCAAGTATATTTAGTCTAAATTCAAATATATAACTGAATAAAAGGTACACACACACAAAACAAAACAAAACAAAAAACCCAGACTGTGGCACATGAACACTGCTCTCTAATTTATTTCTTGACAAATTAGGACATTCTCTGAGCCTTACTTAACATAAGAATCCTCTAAGTATACTGTGTGTGTGTGTGTGTGTGTGTGTGTGTGTGTGTTTATCTCATACAAATGGGAAACATTTGGCCATGAAATAATAAACTATACCCGTATAATCACACATGTCCCAAATTTCAAAGTTTGTTTTTTTTTAATTGTTTGTTTAGTTTTATTTAGTTTCCTAGCCATTTTATATCATAGAGAAGCAGAGACAGCCTGGTTAAAATATTTCAAGGATGTGGACAGTTCAGGTCATATTTACCATTTGTGTCTGCCAAGATACCTGCCAATAGAATTTGTAAAAAGGATTGATTATTTATCTTAGGCACCTGTCAATAAATATATGCGGTAAATTGGAGCTAACTTATGTCTTGTTTCAGTTAGCTTTTTTGCTGTTGTGACTAGAAGACCTGATCTGAAAAACTACAAAGGAGGAAAGGTTTACATAGGGGTTACTGTAAAGTAAGAAAGATTTATTTAGAGGCTCATGGATACAGAGGTCTTAGTCTCTAGAAGACTGATTCCCTTCCTCAGAGCTCAAAGTGAGGTAGAACATCATGGTGGAATAGTGTGGCTCACATGGTGATCAGAAACCAAAGAGAGTTCTCCACTTGTCAGATACAAATATATACCCCAAAGTCATGCTCCCAAATCCCACCTCCTCCAGCCACACCATACCAGCCTTCAGTTACCACTCAGGGATATTAATTAATTAATTAATCAATCAATCAGGAGATTGATTCACTGATTGGGTTAGGGCTCTCACAACCCAATCATTTCTTCTCTGAACCTTGTTGCATTGTCTCATATGTGAGCTTTTGGGGGTCACTTTATATCCAAACACTAACACCCTTTGGGATTAAAATTTTAGGAAATATGTATATTATTGTTCTCCTAAAGAATATATGATGGAAGATATCAAGCCCTTTTTAAAACTTTGCTGCATGACTAAGAAGTTTTAGAGTGTCTTTTTAGGTGTATTGTTAATATCACTAAAATATAACTCTGCAATAGTTAGTAGTATCATTTTACAAAAGACTAATATCCAGCAATTAACTTTTCCAAAGGCATTAAATGATAGAGATGTTTTTTCAAACCCACTGTGTCTCCAAATTGGATATTTATTTAACTATATCACAGTTTCTTTATGCTGGTTTGTGAATATTAAATACAAACATTAGCTAAAGAAACGTGAAATAATATATTTCTTTCCACACTGAGTTGGTGGAAGGTTGAGGCAGGAGGATTACTTGAGTCCAGGAGTTTGATAACTGGGCAACACAGCACGACCCTGTCTCAAAACAAAACAAAAAAGAACAGATTGAATTGGATGTATTGTAAGGAGAAAACTCTTAAATGACTAGTTTTATTTATTTTCAGTTGTCATTTCCAAAATCAAGAGCTTGTGAATATTTTTGTGCTTTGAATGGTCTATTTACAATTATTTTCAAATTACATAAAATGTTAATTAACTAAAACACATTATCAGGATTATTGAAAGAGATAAGAAAATATAAAAATGAAGTTTGATATGCCAAGGACAACATTATACTATATTTTGCTTGTTGCATATTTACAAATTACTTGAAAAATATCCCTTTTTTATGAACTATCTGAAACTTCTACTGATATCATTTTTTAAAATACAAAATATCTGTGTATTAGCTTGTAAAATCTAAATCCAAAGAATTTCAGATATATCCTGTTCTAATTCAAAGCAAGTGTTTCAGACCAATATATTCATGAATTATTTTATGGAAGAAAGGGCAATCATTTGACAACCAACACCTTCTCTGAAAGAGTTCATGTGCTGTTTGGATTTATAACAAGAGTCTGGGGAATCCACATGATGCTTATACCAGCTGTCCCCAGGCCTCTTAGGATCAATTTAAGACTTTACCCAGCCCCTTTATTCTTTGTGAAGTGTAAAGGCAGCCTCCACAGGTTTCAAAAAAAAAAAAAAAGAATTTTTTAGGAAAGATCCTCTTCTTCTTTTTAGAAGAAAGCAAAGAAGCTTTCTGTCCCCTAGTGGTACACACACTACCCCATGGCCCCCACATAACCTTCCAGAAAACACATGAACATACTCTCCTTCCTTTATAATAGTGCTTTTGGGATCCACCTGCACAGTCAGTTTAAAGAGACACTTCTTTGTTTGAAAGTCCCTTCAGTAGTTGGAACTACTCAGTTCCTTCAGTAGTTGGGCATTTCCTTTACCTTTATTGTTTTACTTCAAGATTCTGGCATTGAAAATGTAAAAACATCTGCATTTTTTAGTTAATTACATTTTTATCTCTTATGAGTACAATTTAGTCAATGAACTAAAATGAACGTGACTAATTCTAGAAAGTACTGTATGTAAGAGGCTAAGAAATCAAGGAAAGAAGAACAAGCACATGCTATGTAAGCACCACTCTAATCCACCATGGCTCTTAAGTATAAGAATCCTTCCTTATTTCCTGTTGAGAGGGAGTCTTGCAAAGGTCAAGGTACTTGCCACCGTCCTATTTCCCATTCCTTTCTTTGTCACAGAATTTGTGAAATTATTTATTAAAAGCTAAGTATTGGAATTCAAAATATTTCTGCCAATCTCACACTCAAAATGAATCATAATGAATGGAAACAACATTACTATTAAGAGTAGAGCCAGCTTTCTAACTGAAAAAATCTTATATGATTTTTTTTTCTTTTTAGATATACATGACAGTAGGCTGTATCTTGACATATTATATATACATGGAGTGTAACTTATTCTAATTAGGAAGGATTAAGTTAATGGTATAAATCTTAAAAAGAGTATAGCTAGGATTTAGCAGGAAAGAGAAAGGATTTACAGAAATTTTGGACTCTACACATGGGGATAGTTTAGGTTAAGTTGTGAAGTGTATCCTATTCAGGGACCTAGTTAGTGTAATAGTATAATAGTCATAAAAAGAGCAAGCCACAATAGTCAGACATCACTTATTTTTATGTCACAAACCTAGAAAGAAAAGTAGTACTTTACTTGATTGTCCTTGAATTATTTAACAATGGATATTTAAGTTTTCTAATATATTTGTTTTACTCACTTTTATTTATCATCTGCAAGGTGATCTTTTTCTCTTCCTCTACTTCCAGAGAATTATAA